TGGAAGGAAATGCACAAAACCAAGTAAGTGATTCCCTCTAGGAGTGAGCTGGAAGGAGGGGAGTGCAGAACATTTTTTACTTATAACCAATTACTATTTTCAATTTTAAAACCCAATAAAAACAAATAAAAACTGAAGAGGGTAACATTTATTCTACATCACTCTGTAAGACAGTATTTTGACCAAGAGGTGGCAAGATTTATCTTTTTATAAAGAAAAAATAATTGACAGTGTTTCTGCACAGAGTGGAAATATCACTGCAGTGGGATTTTTTTTTTTTAATTTTTTTTTTTTTTAAGATTTTATTTATTTGCGAGAGAGAGAATGAGAGACAGAGAGCATGAGAGGGAGGAGGGTCAGAGGGAGAAGCAGACTCCGTGCTGAGCAGGGAGCCTGATGTGGGACTCGATCCCGGGACTCCAGGATCATGACCTAAGCCGAAGGCAGTCGCTTAACCAACTGAGCCACCCAGGCGCCCCTGCAGTGGGATTTTTAAGAGAAATCTATTCCTGTATACAGAGTTGGAATATATGACTTAATTCCGGGTGAAGAGGTGAGCGGGAATGCACTTTTTTATTAAGCAAGTCAGCCACATCATCAAAAAATTTGATTTTACAAAATGCATATTATAACAAAAAATAATTTTCTTCCCATTCTAGCCCCTTAGTCCCCTTTCCATTAACAATTCAAATATCCTTCAAACTTTTCAATGCATGAATTTCTTACCCCAAAAAAGTTTTGTATTACTCAAAAATCTTCAAAAGCAATTTGGTCCTTCACTTTTCCAGCATATAAATCTGTTACTCGGAAGAACGAAATAGTTTCTAAAAATCAAAGTTTACACAATCACTGAAACAAACATTGACATTAGCCAGATTTCACTCTCCTCCACATGACAATCAACAACAGCCTGTTTTCAATCTGCCAAAAACTAGACTGGACTTAACAAAGGTTCGCTTGGCCACCTCGGAGAAAAAACTGAACAAAACAGTAGCAGCCCTCTTCCAGAACAGGACCAGCTCCCTCCAGCTAAGAGCTAAAAGAAGCAAATGCAACATCTCCCACTGGGTTAGAGGAAAAATGCTCTGGTTATAAGCAAGGGTACCCAACGGAATTAGATGAGAGCTGTACCGTAAGTCCAGACTTTCTCTGCCTCAGTCACGGGTTCAGTCCAGTCCTCCATGAACTTTTCCACAATGACTGACTTACCGGTCAGAATGGAAACACCTAGCAAAGCTCTCAGAAGTCTCCGGAACCCAAATTCTCCTCCTTTAGACATTCAACTATTAAGACAACTTTAGTCTTCACTAATTCACTACTTAATTGAACAAATTCTTTAAGCGCTTACCACCAACATAAAAGTGCAGTAGAAAGAAAATTGAGTATGGTACAGTTCCCATCACCACCAAGCTTAGAGTTAGGAGGTATGTCAGTGAGAGATGGGAGAACCATCTTACATGATGACTGTGATAAGAGCCACACAACGTTTATCCAAGGAGGAACATACATACAGGGTAAATGGCCAACAATCTATGCTGTTTTCTTTGCCACGACTACATCTCACATGCATCTTGGGCTTTGTTTCCTACCATGCAATAAAAATACAGATTGAGTTCAACTGATTGTTAAGCAGTCACATCAGTAGGAACAATAAAATGGATAATCCAAAGCAGCCTCAATAAAAATTAGCCACTGTAGACATTTTTCCAAAGAAGACATACAGATGGCCAATGGGAACATGAAAGGATGCTCAACATCACTAAGCTTCAGGGAAATACAAATCAAACCACAGTGAAATATCACCTGACACCAGTTAGAATGGCTTTTATCAAAAAGAGGTCAAAAAGGCAAGAAACAAGTATTGGTGAGGATATGGAGAAAAAGGAACCCTTGTGCACTGCTGGTGGGAATGTAAATTGGTGCAGGCACTATGGAAAAGAGTATGGAGTTTCCTCAAAAAATTAAAAATAAAAATACCATATGATCCAGCAATTCTATTACTTGAGTATCTACCTGAAGAAAGTGAAAACACTAATTCAAAAAGATATATGCACCCCTATGTATATTGCAGCATTATTTACAGTAGCCAAGATATGGAAGCAACCTGTGTCCAACTATGGATGAATGGATAAAAATGTGGTACACACATATACACAGTCACAGACACACACACACACACACACAAATACTACTCAGCCATAAGAAAAGAATGAAATCTTGCCATTTATGACAACATGGATAGACTTTCAGGGTGTTATCCCAAGTGAGATAAGCCAGATGGAGAAAGACAAATACTGCAAGATGTCACTTCTGTATAGAATCTAAAAAACAAAACAAACAAAACAAAACTCAGACTCACGGACACAGAATAGACTGGTAGTTGCCAAAAGGGAGGAAGGTGGGGAAAGGGGCAAAATAGGTGAAAGGCATTAAGAAGTACAAACTTCCACTTATAAAACAAATACATCATGAGGATGACATATACAGTCAATAATATTGTCGAATTACTATGTTGTACACCCGAAGCTAATATAATATTGTACGTCAATTATACCACAGTGAATTAAAAAAAATTAACCACTGTTTTTGGAATGTATTATACTTTATCAAAGAAAGATTTTAATTCCTTATCACAGTTTGTTTACATTAATATTATTAACCCTGAGAACACAGCAAATTCTAAAGAAATGCCTGTTCAAGATTCAAATACCGCTGTGGAAAATCTCTAAGTGGATGATGCAGTCAGTTAACTAAAATGGTTTTATTATAAAAACTTACAAAAACAAACCTATTTTGTCATACAAATCTCTCCTCCTCTTGAAATTCTGACTGTAGGCAAGAAACAGCCTTAATAGAACATCTGAAACACACCAATTTGAAGACTCAACAAACTCTCATCACCATCACTACCAACTTCAAAAGGAGGGAGTTGTCATGCACGGGGTTCAATGGATGACATCATATGAGTGCATCCATGGTCTCCATCAATTTTCAACACAGCTCAAGTATTCAAAAAGAATCAAAAATCATCCTCATATCACCACCACCACCATCACCACTCACAATGAAGCACCAAGCACTGTTCTGATACTTTATACCTATTGCCTCTCATAATCCTTACAAGAATCCTATAAGGACTCTTTTAGACATGATGAAACAGAGGTACAGAAAGGTTAAGGAGCTTGCCAAGGCAACCAGTCTACCACCCTGCTCCTCCTAAATAACCTCCTCCTGTGTCTCATGCATAAAGCAGAAGGACTGGTAAGCAGGGATTTGCTTATAGTTTTATTTCAATCCCTCCAATTCTTCCCTTCCCAACTTATTTTTATTTTCATTGTTCTTCCCTTCTTGATAACTTCCCACTTTCCTAGAACATGGGAAAAACCAAGAGTTTTATTATCAGGGCAGCAATGACAAAATTAAGTTCATTTTAATCTTAAGAGCCCAAAATAAGGATAAAAAGTCATAAGCTACAACTCAATAAGACATAAGGAAATTGCACCATGGCTTCACACCAATAGACCATATATGTTTCCAAATCTTAATATTCTTTTCTTATATGTCTGTGGAACATTAAAATTAAACTCCTTTTATGAAATGCATTTTCTTTACATTCTCACTGATTATTCTTAGGGTTCTTCACTGAAAACATAGAACTATTGGCTTAAAAAAAATAAGCCAGTAGTTTTGTTAAGGTAATTTTCCACTCAGGCAAATGTAGAGATGGAGAAAATTTATAGGTAAAATATTAAAATATTCATTTTAATGGCTAACACACAGCTGACAGTCACAATGCTATCTATACATGATGGCAAAAATGAATACTGTGAACTCTGCAGGATGTGGGTGAGGGAATGAGCAGCAGAGGGGAAGATAAAGCAAACCGTGTACTGGTATGGCAGTAACATCAGCTGGGGGCACTACCACTTCAACTCTTATCTGCCTCCTAACCCCCTTCTTCCCCCCTCTTCATGCTCTGTGGCAGGGTTTCTCAATCTTAGCATTATGGGATGTCAAGCAGCATCCCTGCCCTCTACCGACTGGATGCTGGTAGAATCACTCTTGCCCTGCCTCCCCTACTTGTGACAACCCAAACTTCCTTTTCTCCTTGTAATCTAAATGCCTCAGGCCTCAACACCTCTATTTAGCTCCACTTCTAGACACTAGGACACAAGGAATTGCTGATCTCTTCAAGAATGGACAAGAGAAAGAGGTCAAACATACACATCCTTTCTTCCTCTCTCTTTTTCTCCTCAAACAAAAAAAAGCAGGGACAGTGGAGCCTAGGTGGCTCAGTTGGTGGAGCGTCCGACTCTTGATTTCAGCTCGGGTTGTGATCTCAGGGTCGTGGGATCCAGCCATGGGTCAGGCCCGTGCTCAGCAGGGAGTCTGCTTGAGATTCTCTCTCTCCCTCTGCCCCTGCCCCCACTTGTGAGCTCGTGCTAATATAATAAATCTTTAAAAAAAAAAAAGGGGGGCAGGAACAAAACAGTCAATCGTCAGAATTAACCGGTATGGTTTGAGCACCTACAATGGGTATTACACAGGGTCAAGTGCTGCTGGGTATAAAAGACATAGTTCATACCCACAACGAACTTAAAATGAAAAAATCCACTCATCAGGTACCTACTGTGTGTCAGGCCAAAAGTTCTTAATGCTGGTAGACATTAAACTTGCCAGTAATAATTTTATAAAAGCTCCCCACCATAACCCTTGAGTAGAATCCCCTAGCGGCAGGTCCATGGATTTCTGTGGTGGTTGTTCAAGTGATTTTGATGGGCAGACCAAGGGAGAACAATCCTGTGATCATAAAGACACTGCCCGTTACCCCCAAGTAACTCAGTCGAAAGAGGTAGTAAGAAAACCGTAACAAAGGCTATTAAAACAAAGGCTAGACTGGACAAGCTGGTTTGTACTGTTCGTCAAAGTTACAAGATTTTTAGTGCAAGTCTAACATTTATGACCACTGATTCCCACCTTATCAAGTGTATAAAACATACCTTATGAAGTACAGACACACTCAAAAACTGCTGAAGGACAGGAAGCAAGAGCTCCACCAACTGCATCAGCTTTCTTTCTCAATCCCTTGATTTTAAAGGCTATCCCAATTATAAGAGAAATACCTTCAAAGTAAGAATATGTAACATTAGTAATGATGGCTTGTTATTTAACTTTTCTTATTGTAGTCTCCTCCTACTGATAGGATTGCTCCTTGGAGGCAGAAACTGAGAATACATTTCTCTATCCCTCCCGCAAATATAGCAGACACACAGCAGGAGTGCACAAGTTACTTGCTGAATAGATTTTACCGGCTTAACAAAAGGCAGAACCCCAGAGTGAGGCTGCACCTTCTTAAAGGAGCCCTTCCCGAAATACAAATCCACATCTCAGCCTGCACAATTTGACAAGACAGAACTCTTCAGTGTTTAAATGCAAATAAGTGCTATAAATACAGTTTGTGTGCCAATCATCTGAATGTTAATCAAGTTAATTTTGTTCACAGTTAACAGGAAAACATTTAAAACCAATCAAACATTCCCTCAAGCTTGAATAAACTAAATGGAAATCCTGAGCACACAAACATGAACACAAGGAAAATAAAGAGGGTGTTATTAATCATGCCACACTGCAAAGCCAGCAATGGGCAAAAAGCAAAACAGGAAGCTGTAACAGATGAGATGGCAAGCCATATACAATCTGCCATCCTGGGTGTTCCAGTAGGGGCTAAATGCTAGCACAACATGCTCTGCATTATTATTCCCTTTCATGAAAAGCTACAGTCTCTGATAAAATTAAGACCCGTCTTCCAGGCGGTCACCCTCCCTGTCCCACTTAGCTTTTAAAGAGTCTGAGCCTGACGAAGGCATATCAGTTCAGGGTTCCTACTCAGTCACTCAGAAAAAGGAGGGGATGGGTACTGGCCTGAGTGGTAAGTGTGTAAGTGAGATTTAAAAGTCTTTTTCCCCCCAACTTTGAAATATTCACAGATCATCTAAGGGGCGCCTGGCCGGCTCAGTTGGTAGAGCATACGACTCTTGATCTCGGGATTGTGAGTTCGAGCCCCACACTGGGTGTAGAGATTACTTTAAAAAAAAAAAAAAGAAAGGAGATGGTGAGGCAGAAAATGCTGCCAAATAATTCTACTCTGTCTAGCAGCTCAGTAAGAACTCCCTTAATGCTGAGGTAAGACCGAGTGTACTTCAGTCAGGTATGGACCTCACCCACAAGCAGCATATGTTTCCCTTACAGACAGCATATGAAAAGCCTTTTTTTACATCCATGATCGCTGTTATCCTTAAGAGAAAATCTGGGAAATTAAATGCTGATGCCTAACTTTTAAAATTACTTTCATTTTATAAGAACTTCTGCACAACAGGACCTTTCTCACTTTGATACCTTATAAACTAATCAATTTTAACAATCAAAACCATATTCCAAGCCCACCACCGGTCTCCTATAAGAAAATGCCACTATAAATAGAATCTAATGCTGCAACTCAGGTAGGAGAGAAAGAGGCCCATCTCGTTATACTCTGTGAAGCACAGGTGTCCCTCAGGTTCATCAATCACGTCAGTTGATTGAGAAACCGCATATAACTGACAACCCCTAATGGGCTGGGAACACCTCACATTCTTCTAAGACTCTGATCCCAAAATCATGTCACGGAGAGGAGCAGGATATGATCAAGGAAATAAGATGGAAAAAGCTTGTCTTTTATAACTCTGGCTTATACATACCATGTACCTCCCAGTAACTCCAGCTTTGCTTAGGCAGCTGGGAAATTCTGGCTTCAATGAAAAATAAACCAGTTTGCCCAGACCAATACTTCCTGGTACATAAAGAATAACACAATAAAGTAAAAGACATCATCCCTATTCCAGTGAGGAATCTGGCCAGGACACAGGAGAACATTTTTTATTAGTAGCTAGCAGATTTCATGTATTTTTTAATTGTCTGTTCACGTCCTTTACCAATCTTGTTTCTTAGGGGTGCTGTTTTCCTATTGATTTTAGAAGTTTCTTACATAGAACAGTAAGTAACTTGCTGCAAATATGTTACCTAAAAGGTTGTTATTTGTAAGTCCATGTTTAGTTATTTGTAAGTGTGTATTTGGCCACATAAATGCTGTCAAATCTATAAAATTTTCCTTTATGGATTCTGCCTTCCACATTTAAAAGGGCTCTAGAGCTGGCTATTAATTACCCCCTCCTGTCTCTTGAGGAAATGGCACATATCAATCTCCCCCTTTCCTTCCGACACTATGACAAGAATCCATGCCAGAATCTTTCTACACTGAGTGTGTATTACTCCACTGGAAAAAAAAAAGTAACACTAATGAATGCTATAAAAAAAGCCACAGATAAATTTGAATACTTATCTTTAAAAGCTCTGGGCAATTTAAGTAACTTCTTTAAATCATTAAAGGGCATTCTTCTCTTAGTTCAATTACTATATTTTTCGCAAAAACCTTTATCTGCAATTGTCAGGGAAATGCTCCATCTACAAATTCCCAAACTTGGTATTTCACAATTTCATTACCAGGATTCCCATTGCTTAACTCTTCTCAATTCATTTAAGTCCATTAGACTCCTTATAACCTATGACCCCTTATCTAGATTGGATTCAGTACTGCTCTCATTAACGTTCTAGACTCTAAAATCACATTGATTTTTAAAAACAGCTAACGTTTTCTGAATGTTCACTATGCCAAATCCTATACTGAGCATAAAATGCACCTCCCCTCTCCCCCATTTTAACACCTCTGAAACAAGGAACTTTACAATCAATGGTAAGTCATATCTAATTGACGGGGTTTTTTTTTTCCTCGAGTAGCACATGAAATAGTACAATGAAATAATTAGCAGCATCTTAATTAGATGAAATATGAAAGTATAATTCATTTAATCTTACTAGCAATCCTGAGGCTGATACTATTATCTCTATTTTTCAGACAAGGGAAAGCAAGGTACCAAAGTGAATGGTAGCTCCCCCAAAGTTATAAAAAGCAAGTTAAGTGGCGGGGCTTAGACTTCAACCCAGGCAATCTGACTCTAGAGCCTCGTCTCTTAACTGATTTGCTATGGTAGGCCAGAATCATCTTTACCAACATTTCTCTCCAATCTTACTATCAGGTCATCCAGTTGTTCTAGGAAGTAACAATTACCTAATCCACAGCCACATCAAACTTTCCACCAGGCTTTGCCCTTGCTGTTCAGGCTCTGAATTTTCCACGGCCCACTACCCGCAATGGTTCTTTCAAAACTTTCAAAACTTCTCCATTATTCTTAAACTTCCAGTACCATTTGCCGAGTCGCCCACCTCACCACCCCAGTAAGGGACTCGTCTCCCACACTACTGGGAAAGTCAATGCAAGCTGGCAGAAGCTCTGCCATCTCCTTTCTTCTAACTTGAGCCCCATCCTGCTTCTCTCTCGGACAACTGTCCCACCTTACCATGGTTAATATGTTGTCATCTGCGCCCTAGATCACTCACTCCATCATCTTTAATTGCTCTGTCCATTAACTTCTTTCCTTCAACCTTCGGAATCAAAGAGATCGCATCTATTTTGAAATATAAGTCACTCGAGGGCATCTGATAATCTACTTTTTTTTTTTTTAAGATTTTATTTATTTATTTGACAGAGAGAGACACAGCGAGAGAGGGACCACAAGCAAGGGGAGTGGGAGAGGGAGAAGCAGGCTTCCCCCCAAGCAGGGAGCCCGATGCGGGGCTTGATCCCAGGACCCTGGGATCATGACCTGAGCCGAAGGCAGGCGCTTAATGACTGAGCCACCCAGGCGCCCCTACTTCTCATTTCTTAATATGCTCTGTGTCTCTTCACACCTGCATTCACTTGATTACCCTGACCTTTCCTCCTTCAACATGAGCCAACCATACAACATTTTCCCAATCTGAACCTACTTCTGGAATCTCTCTTCCCCAGGCTTTCTGGTTTCACTGCTCCTCTGACCCTACATCTTTCTTCCAATTTCTTCTTCCATCCACTTTAAATATACCTCTTCCTTCTACTAATTCCCAATTGTGGATTTCAGTGGAAGGCTTGACCCACCAGCTTTTTCCTTTCCATGGTCCTCTCAGAATACCGATCCACTTTTGGAAGGTCAACCATCATTTTCAGGAGAAGACTCCTGAGAATCTTTTGTGAAGCTCTGAGCCCTTCCCTAAGCTTTGGTTATTTATCTCCAACTTGCCAGTAGGATACTTCTACTTAGAGACTCCACCTTAATTCGACATGTCAATTTAATCTTTATTCCTTCCACAACCAGTTCTTCCCTATTCTTAAGAAAATACTTTATTAATTTTCCAGCCACTCAGGTTGGAAACAAGAATACTCTGACACCTCTCTCCTGTTACTCTATAGTGAAATAACCACCAACCGTTTTTTTTTTTTTTTTTTTTCTCATAAAACCCATCTCTATCACACAGATAACTCAAATAGCTTTCCTATTAATCTCCTGGCATCCGGCCCTACCTTCTCCAATCGACACTGCATGTTCACCTTCACCGACTTCCCAATGCTTCCTTATTCTGGCACTGTAAGGTACTCAAATTCTCACCCCAACTTAAGCCTTCTAAACGTGTCTTCCCCCTTACCATACTGAGCCCCATCAGGAATACCCACTGTGGTGAGGTAGGGCTGCTCACCAGCCTCTAGATCTGTGCCGTCCAATATGACCGTCACAGGATAAACAGTTATGTTTAAACATAACGTGATTAAAGTTAAAAAATCAACTCCCTTCAGTTGCACTGGCCACATTTTAAGTGTCACGAGGGCTAGTGGCTACTATATTGGACAGTGTAGATAGCAAACATCTCCATCACTGCAGAAAGTTCTGTTGGGACAATGCTACTGTAGATTCTCAACACTCATGCCTAACCTCCTTTCATACCACTACTCTGCCTAGAATGTTCCTCCCTTCTACCTATGCAAATCCACATGTCCTTCCATACCACAGTGGTCCTCATGTGAGTTGTCTGCGTAACTTCTTCTTATATGATCTTGTAACAACTCTTGCAATGTTGTTATACTTTCTCATTTTTGTGTGTCTTCTAATTATTGGACCACTCAGAACTAATAAATATTCAAGGGAATAAATGAAGC